CATTTTTCCTTTCTACAAATGATATACTTTTGCAACCTGTTCTAAACATTTCAATTACACTTCAGCATAGTAAGATTTCATCATGATACATGGTAATTAGAATCCCAAATCATCACCCCCTATTTTTTGGAAAAGGTAAGGTATAAAGAGGTGAACAAATAGCCCTTTCAAACGCTTTTACACGGGCTCCTGGCAAAGTTAATGACCAGAAGAAGGAGAGTCCTATCAGGCCACTTGACAAAGGCGAAATGGGGCTCTTTGCAGACAGGCGCTCCGCGAGATGGCCAGCATAGAGAAGCCAGCCAAGCTCTCTCTGAAGAATAAATCGGGAATTCTCTTTTCCTGCCCCCCGCCCAACAATTCCTGGTTTTTAGATGCTGCTGTGGCCCCCTAGATGCGCAAACACCAGAAAAGGGAAAGCAGAAAAACCCCACAAGTTAGTATGCCTGCGCCTGGCCAGAATGGAAGCAGGAAACGTGAGAGCTCGCGGAAGCCGTCTGGGGACCAGGCCGGGGCGGGAGCCATGTTCCTAGTTTGGAGGCCTCTTCAGATTGAACTTCCAAGCCCTTGGCCAAACTCCCCCGGCAGCGTGCTCCCCGCCGACACGAGCTCTGTGCATTTGGCAAGCCGTGCGGCCAGAAGGATCTGGATTCCCACACGCTGGGCTCCCACCGCACATTAGGGCTCAACTCAGAGATGCCACGACAGTGGCCTCCATCATCATCTGGGCGAGAGCCAGAACCTAGCACCTATCTCCCACATCCCACGATGCTACCAAACACTCCCGGCCACCCTCTGGGCTGTAACGCCCACCCTCTGGGCTGAACAGTAAGAGGCTTGGAACCAACACGCCAGGAGAAGAAAATAATTAACATCAAGCCAAATTCCCATCATCTGCAGAAATCAGGAGTTGTTTTCAGTGCAGTGCTGATCATTTACATAACTAGGGCCCTCAGACCATTTGGTATTCCATTTCTTAAGTAAGCAGAGATCAACGGGTCACTAAGGGAAGAAAGACTAACATCCTTATGACCCAGACTATGTAATGGGTGCCTCTGCACGGCTGACCTAATTAAATGCCCGTGGCGACCTAGCAGATGGGTATGATTACACCCATTTTACAGATGGGAAAGCTGGTGCTTGCTTTAAAAAAAAACAAAACCGGGGCGTCTGGGTGGCTCAGTTGGTTCAGCGTCTGACTTTGGCTCACGTCACGATCTTGTGGTTCGTGGGTTCGAGCCCCACATCGGGCTCTGTGCTGACAGCTCAGAGCCTGTAGCCTGCTCCGGATTCTGTGTCTCCCCCTCTCTTTGCCCCTCCCCTGCTCATGCTCTGTCTCTCTCTGTCTCTCAAAAATAAATAAATGTTAAAAAAGAAAAAAATTTTTTAAAAATTAAAAAACCAAAAGCAAACAAACCCACTCAGGCTTAACACATGGGAGTAAGTTTAACTGGTTTGGGGATTTGGTAAGAAGAAAAGTTAGTGGCCTCTGAACTAGAAACAGCACAACTTTCATAATTTGTACAAGGCTCAAATACCCCATATTACCTAGTTGTATTCCGTGTATATCACGGTGCTTCTTTACCTGCCAACTGCCTAGTTCCCCACCCACACACGCACACACACACATGCACACACATCGGAAAGCGGCTCAAGGACAGGCCCTACAAGTTCATCTCTGTATCCCCAGCACTGAGCACAGGGCCTGACCCAGTAAATGTTTACTGAGGCGAATTCATAATTGCATTCCATCAGCAATGAGCCAGAGAGCTCACGCAACAGTTCCGTAAGCTGGCCTCCAGTAAGCTCACTGCTAGCGGCCATGAGGCATGCGTATGGGCAGGCCACGATCTGGCCCTTTCCCTGCTTCTTCCCCTCCACTGTCAGGAAAAAGCCCTCCATTTCTGGAAGCAGTCTCTGCTCAAGGGGACCGTTCTTTTTTTTTTTTTTTTTTTTACGTTTATTTATTTTTGAGACAGAGGGAGACAGAGCATGAGCAGGGGAGGGGCAGAGAGAGAGGGAGACACAGAATCCGAAGCAGGCTCCGGGCTCCGAGCTGTCAGCACAGAGCCCGACGCGGGGCTCGAACTCACGCACCGCGAGATCGTGACCTGAGCCAGAGTCGGACGATTAACCGACTGAGCCACCCAGGCGCCCCTCAAGGGGACCATTCTTAAGATCTTCATCGACCACCAGCTTCATATCGGTTCTAGGGCTTTAACTGCAGAGGATCCTCAGCTAAGGGAACCCCGCAAGGCCCTATCAGGACACAGCTCTGTCCCTTCTAGCCCACCCTGTTCGAGTGGTCCTCCCCTCCATCCAGAGTGAAGCAGGGATTCCCTGAGAGAGCAGGGGAGTCTGGGGAGCCGGGTGGGTGAGGAATGAACCACAGGGCCAGGTCTGGGACCAGCCACTTTTCTCTGTGGACCTAGGCGTCCCCATGTTGGAAATACAGAAAATGACTTAGACATACCTGCCTGCCCAAAGGCTTCCTGGTACCTCCTAACAGTCCTCGCTTATCCTAAAATCACACCTATCCCAGAGCTGTTCTGAGGTTATGGATGATACTGTATGTAAAAGGCTTGTCCTGTGCCTGGCAGATGTTAAGTTCTCAAAAACAGGTAGTAATTAATCACGGCGAGAATCGCTATTATCACAACCCCATTGACAAGGGCATTTTCGGTCTTCATCCTAAAATGTATTCGCTTGCCCCCTTTCACAAAGTTCACCTGACCCTTGGTTCCTTCTCTACTACACTGAACAGAGGAGGAAGGATGTCCGAGTTCTCAGCTGGGAGCAGGGGCAGATCCCCACGGGCTCCATGAGCCTGGTGCAAGGCGCATCCTCCTCTCCTGTTCCGAGCAGAAGAACACCCCACCTTTCTGAAACCCCTCCTGTGACCTCTGTACACCACACCCTGCCTTTCCTCCCGACCTCTGAGTCCCCTCAGCCTCTACTGCCATCGGGTGCTTTGAGCCAAGCTCCAGATTTGAGAGTTTTTTCTACTGCCCCTCTGCTCCGCCTCTCCCCGCCTAGATGCCCACCCGTGCCTTGAAACTACACTTCCTTTGCTGGCTGCCGAGGTCCCAGCCCAGCCCTCAGAGCTAAGCTCTGGCCTGCAGCTTCCTGCTTGACAGCGGCCCTTGAAGGGCGCCCGCGCATGTTCAAGGTACATCCTGGATGGCCCACCAGAATCTATTCCCACTCCCTAGTCCTCCTCGTCCCGATCAGCGGCACCGCCATCCAGTCTCTCCGACCGGAAATCTACTCAGTACCCCGACAGCAAAACAGATCCCACATCAGTGGTCTCCTCCAGTGCCTCCGGGAGCCAAGAAACCCTAACACAAAACCACCATCACCTTCCGCAGGACCCCGAGCTTCTAACCCAGCGGTCACGAGCAACGCGAGAAGGAGCGAGCTTCGCAGCACAAACCCGACCCCGTCAGGCCCCTCCGTGGCTCGCCATGTGCCGGGAGCGCCCGGCCCGGGTCTGGGAGGCCCTGAATCAGCAGGGCCCGCCCGTCTCCAGCCGCATCTCACACCCTGCTCTCGACGTCCCTCCCCAGAAGCCGCACAGCTCTCCCTCCGCGTGAGCGCCCACACCCGGCCCCGGGCCCCCCACTGACCTCACACTGCCTGTTTCCTGCACAGCACGCTTCTCAGCCTTTTACATACTTACTTTTAGTCCCACATTTCTTGTTAATCTCTCCTGCTGCCGCCCGAGGTTCCTGCTCCAAGAGGTCCAGGCCTGGAGCCACTCCACCACCTGCTATGGGAATGCATCCCCCTCTCCCACACAGGGAGGGTCCAGAGTGACCAAGACCTGAGGGTCACAACTGGCAGCCTGCGGGCAGGTCATACTCCCCAGGGTTTTAGTTAGGACTATCTGGAAGCTATAGCAAAGGTGAACTAGAACAACGGATACCGACGTTTGCCAGGTTCACCTGTCGCGCTGGTCTTCCTCTCCACACGCAATCCCCCCTGCGCGAACACACTATTTATGCCTGAACCATTCAAAAGTGAGTTGCATGGGCACCTGGGTGGCTCAGTTGGTTAAGCGGCTGACTTTGGCTCAGGTCACGATCTCGCGGTTTGTGGGCTCGAGCCCCGTGTCGGGCTCTGGGCCGGCAGCTCGGAGCCTGGAGCCTGCTTCGGATTCTGGGTCTCCCTCTCTCTCTGCCCCTCCCCTGCTTGCGCCGTCTCTCTCTCAAAATAAACAAACGTTAAAAAACAAAAAACGAAAAGTGAGTTACAGACCCCACTGATACTTCACACCTTAATACCTGAGCAAAGATCTACCTTTAACACGAGGCCACTATCACCACCTCCAGATTTAACACGGATCCATCTGGCCATACTACCTAATACGGCCCACATTCAAATTTCAGTTCATAAATGTTCTTGATAAAGCTGCCCCTCCCCCCTCCCATCCTGAACAAGACCCAGTCCAAGGTCACGCGACTACATGGAGCTGTCCTGTCTCTTAAGTTGCCTTTAATCTGGAACCATCTCCCCAGTACTTTTTGTCTTTCGTGATGCTGACATTGTGAAGCGATGTCTTGTGAAATGTCCCACATTCCGGAACTGACCGTTTCCTCACGTCAAAGGCTTTTCAGGTGACAAACTCCCCTGGGTTCGTGCACCTGCACACAGAGGCAGGCACTGAACTGTCTCCTAAAACCTACACGGTGAGCGCTTTTTTAGGGGGGAAGAAAAAGATCTGAAAAAGTCTTCAAGTCTGGACTCTCTTGAAACAACAACGACAACAACAACAACAGAACACGTGGTAGCTCTGGCCGGGTTCCAATGTGGCCACAGGAGCGGGGGCGGAGATGTGGCCACCCCTCCCCCGGATCCCTAACGCCATGGGGCCAGGCGCGGGCTGCCTCGCTCACTCACAGGACTTGGCACGGCCGTGACCCAGCCCAGGTCCCCACGGTGACAGTGGGCCCACGCCGAGAGAACCTCGCTTCTTTTGGGACCCGAAGATGGGCTTCAAGCTCCAGCACAGGTAGGCAGTGACCCCACCTCTGCCCAAGGACAAAGTCCTACAACCCTCCCTGCAAAGGGTGAGCTCAGGAAGGGTGTCTTGGGTTATCCAAAACGCCCCAGAGGACATCAGGGCACCTGTCTAACTGCTTTCAGAATAACTCAGATGTTTAAAGTTCCACTGCCAGGGGCATGCTTGGAATGCAGACGGTTCACCTCAGGGGACCTGGCCAACTTCTAACCAGAGGGTCACCCCGCGAGAGGAGACAAAATAAACCCAGATGACATCCAGGACTCAGTGTTACTAAAATATCCCTTCGCCTGATCTCTGTTCTTAGAATATTTAATGCCCTTTCAAACTTGCAACCATAAACCCAACACCCAACGTCTCCGTCCACCAACTCGGCACAGAACGAATACAGCCAAAAACAATCACCCACGCCCCCTCGACGCCCGCGGCTCTCTACCGAGAGCTGAATCTCAGGAGAGGAGACACCTTTTCTGCTCATCTATGCAGTCCCTTGACGTTTCTGAGGCTGCTCTGGCTTTGAAAAGAGTTCACTAAGCCCCTGTGTGAATAATGCAGTAAGTATTTTCCAGGTTGTACAAGACATGCAAGGGCCTGACTCAGCAAACGAGCACGTCCAAAGAGCCTGTTTTCTTCACAGGCTTTTTCTTTCTTTCTTTTTTTAAACTGGAATCTACCCAACTGAGGAGAATGTGAAGGACTCACTTTCTGGGAAGCCAGGTATTCCATGCCTCTCGCCAGCTGGTAGGTGCAGGACACCAAGTCCTTGAAGGTCATCTGCTCCTCGGGGACGCGGTTAATGTCATAGGAGTACTCCATCCCGGGGGGCCTGCGGGCTCGGAGGTATTCCCGGAGGTTGCCCTTCGAGGCGTACTCAACTATGACATAGAGCGGCCCTGCGGACGGAGTAGAGAAAGCAGCTCAGGAAGGCGACTACCCTTCCCAGATCTGCCCCCCCCGGGGAACCTCAGCACAGTGTGAGCTCTCACAAGCCGGCGCTTTTTTTGTTGAATTTGAACACACGGAAAAGCACACACAAAAACAGGACAGCGGCACCTCTCCTCTTCCCCAAAATGCCAATCGACACTTGGTCAAGAGAGCCCCTAAAGTCTTCCAGAAATAAACAGAGGTACAGCGAGTGCCCCCCTCCTGGCACTCCTGTGCCCTCCTGGAGAGCAATGGCTATCAGAGATCTCTCTCTGCCCGTTCATTTTAAATCGTTTTACCCACATATATGTACCGATAAACAATGCACTGGTTTCCAGCACATAAATGCGTCGTGAAGATACGGCTTTGCAACATTTTCCCCCTACGTATTATCCTTGAGGAAGGAACCCAGTCGGGCTGATAAAAAAAAAATCTAGATCATTCCTTTCAATACCTATATATACATTCTACCATATAAATAGGCCACACTTTATTTATTTCTCTATACTTATGGGCATTTACGTTGCTTCCAGGTTGGTGATAAACAAACGCTTCTGGGTACGCCTCCTTACGCACACGTGAGATCCTTTCTCCGAGGCACAGATCGGAGGTTGGCAAATGACAGCCCGCAGGCCAAATCCTGCCCACTGCCTGTTTTTGCAATTAAATCGTATTGGCACACAGCCAGGCCCATTCACATCTGCATCATCTGTGGCTGCTTTCTCGCTACCGGGCAAACACGAGTCGTGGCCACCGAGACCCACGCTAAAGGCCACCAAACCAAAAATATCTACCATCACCCTCCACGGAAAGTCTCCCGACTCCTGGTATCGACCTAAAAGAGAAGCTGCTGAGGCAAAGATAGGATTTTCGAGTCTATTAATTATCCTCAATCGGAGTCCCAAAGTGCTAGTCAGCTCCCCAATGGGAGAAGCCAGGGCTCTGTCTCCCCCGAGGCAGATAACGTGTCCCTTCCTTCTACTCTCTCCTCTTCTAAGCTAGTCTTGGGAGCTCAGCCATCCGCTGCCCATAGCAAGACATGGCTTCCTCAACCCCCATTTTAAGGCATCTGTCAACCCAAACATAGGGTCTTCTTTTGAGAAATCCCTCTTAGCACCATCAGACAAAACCACAAGGAGCCTGTCCTTTCCGAACACCCTCCAGGTGATGGCCTCAGAACAGCAGGACTCTATAAGGCCCTCCCATCCAAAGCCACCCAACGCCTACCATTCCCCAGTCCCCCAGTACGGTCACAAAGTCCCCTTTGTGTTCATGGCCAGGAACATCTTCCTAAGGGGATTTTTAAAGAGAACTTTCAACATGCACTTGAGGTGCCCGAGGAGCAAGATCCAAAAGTCCAACCGTTTCTAAAATGATGCTAACATTGAAGCGTAAATTATTTGGATGAAAGCATTTTTTCCTCCTACTCACCATCCTGAGTGCAGGCTCCAAGGAGATTTATGATATTTTTGTGTTTTCCAATCATCTTCATCATCTCCATCTCTGACACAAGATCAGAAAGATCCTTCTCTGTGGCATCATCTACAAACATTCGGTAAATTAAAAACCAGTTACTTTTCTCTTAACCCGTCAGCTGCTGCTGTAAGTCATTGCCAAAAACATAGTTGAAACAGCATGAAATTGAATTTTAGAACCAGAAAAGACTTTCCAAATCATCTCCTTCATTTTACTGGGAAGGGGGCAAAGGCCCGGACGGGGAACTGCCCGGATCCGTGTCAAATAGCTAATTTGGGGTCAATGAGGTCAAAAGTCAGGACTAGAAATATAGACCTTCTTCTGCTAAAGGCCAATTCTTTTCCAGCAAATCTCACAAATTGCGGGGGCGGGGGGGGGGAGGTGTTTAAATTCATCATGAAATAATTCCATCCTCTGGCAGATCTAAGGGGCCTCAGAAAAAAACCTTATCAAACTTCAGGATGTCTGAAAACAACTGTGAGCGCATCAGGGGTGGGGAGAGGGACCCGGATGAGGTATGTCAAATCACTACAGACTTTCTCTAGACCAAGTGCTGCTAATCCAAGCCCTTGTAGCCCTTAGAAAATTCACAGACAGGTTCAGGGGGCACCTCATAACTGTGTGTGTGTGTGTGTGTGTGTGTGTGTGTGTGTGTGTGTGTGCATTCTGAGTGGGCAAAGGCCCATGCCTTCTATAATGGGTTTCTCAAAGGGGGCTGTGATTCTCAACATAAAAGAATTAAAGTTTTCTAAACTTCTGCTCTATAATTTCAAGAAAAGCGTCTTAGGTCCTACAGTCACAGGCTCACAGCTTCTAGAAAGTGGCAAGCCTCTTCCACGTGAACCTCTCTGAGCTAATTCAATATGGAACAATCTGCATTTACTAAAACAATGAGATAAGGAAATACGTAGCAGCCTCACTGCAAAAAGCTTTTCAGCTTCACAAAAGGAGGAGCAATGCAATTAACTGACTGGAGGGTAAGACAGACACACAGAGCACAGATAGGGCTGGGATGTTGCTGTGAGCCACCCACTGGCTGTAAAAAAAGGACGCCTGACAGGGCTCTGGGGCTAACGTCTTCCTCCATCCTGAAAGGGAGGACCAACCTGGGTACATCCAAAGAAATAATCCCCCCAGACCTCCACTTCTGAACTCCAGACGCCAAACAGAAGTTCTGCCAAAGGAGGCGGGAAGCCTGGGCCCTCCCCACACGTGCCCTGGCACGTGGCCGGGGGTGCCAAGGTTGGCTGTTGTGGGGCATGCAGCCCACCACACCTGCCAAGCAAGAGGGCCAGGGCGCACGAGGCAGGCCCCGGCCACACAAGACGAAAGCCAGAGGGCCACCTCTCTTGGTGGAGCTGAGACACGTGGGGTGGGGGAGCACAGTCCTCCCAGGCATCAAACTCCAACGTGAGGACCTCAAAACACCCCAGTTTTCTTGGGAGCCATGCAGATCAATAACTTAAAAAAAAAATCATCTTTCTTACTCCTTCCACCTGCTACCTCCCCACACAGGGAGGGACAGGATCATCCCACGACAGCCCATGAAAGAAAGAAAGAGCCTAATTCAGGAAGCATCCACAAATGGGTCAGGCACCCATATTCAAGAACAGGTGTCTCTGCCCAGACACGTGGGAAAAACCGTCCTTTCTAAGATCCCTACGACAGGATTTATAATGTAACCGTTCCCTATAACTCGTCTCATAAAAGAATACTGTGGAGGAAGAAGTTAATGTTTGAAACGCCGTAAGCTCCTTGGACATAGGCATGAAGCAGGGCTAGAAGGTCAGTGCACAACGACATGTGACGTTCATGTCCCGGGGTAACTGCTCACATGGCCCAGAAGGTTCTGCCCAGCCACCGATCCTGCTGGTGTCGTTTAGCTTTCTAAGGGATTCTCCCAGACCGGTGTCAATTCTGTTTTGTTTCTCTTACAAAACAGAAGGTGTGACCTCCTCTCCCTGCACCCCCTCACTCCCTCCAAAAGGGTCAACCTTCCTTTATTTGTAAGGGAAGGTTTGGGACCCAAATCCAAGAGGCCAATGCTCCTCTAAATTAATCAATCATACGTGAGTTGCTACTTTCTAAGCATCTACAAAAATAGAGGGAATAGGAAATCACGGTCATCACCTAGGAGCTGATGAAGAACAATCTGGGAGGCTACCACTTTCTAACAAAACTGGCTTTTCTTTCTTGTAAGTGCACACAGCTCAAGATAAATCGTCTGTCCGGGATGCTGATTTATATGGAAAACTTCTCAACCCCTAGGTCAACTATGTGCTCTCTGACCCCTGCCATGATAGAGTTCACATGCCACAAAAGGAACATTCTTGATAAGACTTTCCACCCCTTTCCCACCCCCACCCATCCCCCTCACCCCACTCACCTTTCAACATCTTCACTGCCACGGTGACTGCTTCCTTGGGCTTCTCTTTGTCAATCCCCACTGCTTCAGCCATGACCACTTGCCCAAAGCAACCTTCCCCCAGAGGTTTGCCCAGCGTCAGCCTAAATGTGTAAATAGGGGATTAGCACACGGCATCTGGTGAAGGGGTGTAGCAAGGGAAATTCCAGAACTAAATATAAAAAT